AGGAATGCCAATTGATTTGCTTGGGCTCCATTGGAATACATTGCAGGAGGGAAAAAAGTTACAAAGAAAATGCGGAGTGGATTTTCTATTAAGGTCTCTGGGCCCAAATAGACTACCTTGGGACTGGAATGACAGCCCCCAGAGTGGAATGACAGCACCTAGCAATTGTTAAGGTTCACTGGGACTGGAATGACAGGCCCAGAGTAGAATGACAGCCCCCTCTGGAGAAGTAGAAGTGTCCTGGGAATGAAATGACAACCCATAGAGTAAAACGACGGTCCCTGGGATTAGCAGAAGTGTTCTGGAACTGGAATGACAGCCCCTAGGAGTAGAGAAGCGATCTTGGACTGGAATGATGCCCCCCAGAGTGGAATAACAGAATCTGTGCTCTGGGTCTGGAATGACAGGTTGCAGAGTGGGATGACAGCTCCTGGGATTAGCATATGTGTTCTGGGACTGGAATAACAGCCCCCATAGGGGAATGATAGCCCCTGGGAGCAGAATCTGTGCTCTAGTACAGGAATGCCAGGTTGCAGAGTGGAATGACAGCCCCTGGGAGTAGCAGAAGTGTTCTGAGACTGGAATGACAGCCCCTGGGAGTAGAGAAGTGATATGGGACTGGAATGATGGCTCCCAGAGTGGAATTATTGTCCCTTGGAATAGAATCAGTGCTCTGGACTGACTCCAGAATGGAGTCAGTGTTATGCAATGGGAATCACAAACCATAGAGTGGAATGAAATACTTTATATTTTAATTTATATTTCTGGAAAGTGTATAGCTATAACCCAATCAGCTCCACTCAATTATTGTCCTGTCTGTCAGCTCCTCAGTTTCCTTACAAGTTAATGAGATTGATGTCAGCCAGTTCCTCTGTTGTCAAGTATAAATCTTGCCCTTGTCCCCCTTGCCCTTAGAGAGCCAGTTTGGTGTAGTGGTTAAGTGTGCGGACTCTAACCTGGGCGAACCGGGTTTGATTCCCCACTCCTCCACTTGCACCTGGCTGGATGACCTTGGGCAAGCCATACTTCTGGCACAGCTGTTCTTGAAAAACAAGCAGCTGGAATTTTTGGCCACTGTGTGACAGAATGTTGGACTGGATGGGTCATTGACCTGATCCAACATTGGCTTCTCTTATGTTCTTATGTAGAACCCTCTTGGAGCGGCACAGACAGCAGACAGGAATATCTTTTATGAATTTTATTAAGAAAATAACCCTAATATATTCAGCTAATCAATGAAATATCACACACAAGAGCTAGGAAATAAAGAGGTGAAGCATTCTTAAAGAGATCAGAGACACAAGAGGGTGAAGCATTGTTGGGGGTAAAAGCTACCTTCCAAAGAGAAGAGTCCCTGGCGAAGGGGAGCAGACTGCTTGGCAGGCAAATACATCTAAGAAGTCCCACAAGAGATGTGGGACCCAGGTTGCCTGGAGTTTTTCTTCAAAATAAGCTTTTAAAATATGTTGGGTGAAATTGCAACTTATTTAATTACATCTTTATTTTAAATGCTATCCAGGACAGGTTCAGTATATGCAATAAGGCTCCAGAAACATTTTTTAACAAAATGGCCTTCCCACACATAGTGCAATCCCCATCGCATGTGTACACTTTCATGAGTCATAAAAGGAAGTTTCTATTCTGAATTTTCATTTGCTGTGCTCCAGAAATTGCACCACAGCCCATACTGCAGCTTTTCTAGCACACCCTCAAAAACCTCCAACCTTCCCCCTCCCCTACTGTTTTTCTTCAGCGTTCTATCCATCCTGAAGAATTCCACAAAACTTGCTGACTTCTCTGTAATGTTTTGGCTTGTTCTAAGATATTATCCTACAGTGTTTTAATTTTATAATTCTAATGGACCAACACAGCTGAAAATATTTTATAAACCGACCTAAAACTTTATTTTTCTGGGTTAAGAACGATGTAACTCTGTTTAGAATTTCAGTGTTAATTCTTCTTGCCCCATAGAATGCCTGCAGTTTTTGATGTGTGCTCACCTGCTAAATGTCAGTGGCAATGTGCAAAAAAATGTCCTAACAAAAATTGGCCCTGGCCTGCATAGCCCTAAGGTAGACCTATCTTGGCAGATCTTGACAGGTAAGCAGGGTCGGCCCTGATTAGCGCCTGGACTTGTGCAGAAGTCCAGGGTTGCTACACAGAGGAAGGCAATAGCAAACCACCTCTGTTCATCTCTTTCCTTGAAAACCCTCTGAGATTGCCATAAATTGTCAGCAACTTGATGGCACTTACCACTACCACCAGGATAAATAAGACATAGCTTATACATGCTTGCCCCCACCCCCATTTATACTTCCTCTGGCTTCCTTCTCCACTCCCATGCCTGTGTAACACAGTATTATCCCACCCATGCAGGAAGCATTACTTCAAAACAGACACATGGAAACTAAGAGTCTCTTTATCTGTTCCAAAGGAACACATAAGCCACAGGGCTGTATTGAGATAATTAGTCTCTCTAATGACCCATCTTTTTACAAGGAATCAGTCTTTTGACTGAAAAGAGGTCAGAAGTTCATTTATTCCAGTGTCAAGTAAAAACCTTGTATCCCAAACAAAGAGCACTCAATGTTGTCTTTTAAGATTTTTTTTATTTAAAAGCAGTCTGATTACTCTTGAAATTATTAAATATACAAGAATCACACACAAAAGGACAAGTGTATATCAATGAACTTAGAAATAATATACATGCAATCTCTTATTCTATCTGCAGTTTAAAAGATAAAATACAAGTTCTAAGATTCTTGCCAGAGAAGATAAAATAGTCTCACCACAATCCAGATCTGAGAGATTCAGGGGATTTAGGGTATGGCTACGTTATATGTGCCCAATTATCACATATCTCTGTGAAGACAATCCAGTTTGTTTCCTCTAAAGGTGTGATGTGGACTCCTCTGAGCACTGAATGCCATTTTCTAGAGAACATTTGTTTCAAAACTGTTCATTCCTCTGTTTCTAAGATTTCATCTAGGCATAAGGCCATTTATTCATACGGTTGGACAGTGAGAGCAAAGCTGAATCAGTTAAAAAGCATACATTTGCAAATTTGAAAACTAAAAGCAAACTCTCAGATTTACTGTTCAAGAATCTATACCATTAATAATCAAAGTCCATGACACCTGAACCCTGTCTGAGTTCCACCCATCAGTCTTGAACACAATAACCACATACAAGAACTCGTGGGCACTCCATGAAACTGCAGAGCGGTCGGGTTAGAACGGATAAAAGGAAGTACTTCTTCACCCAAAGAGTGATTAACACATGGAATTCACTGCCACAGGAAGTGGTAGGTGCTACAAGCATGGACGGCTTCAAAAGGGAATTAGATAAGCATATGGAGCAGAGGTCCATCAGTGGCTATTAGCCACAAGGTATAGCTAGGGGCTCTGGGGCAAGTGATGCTCTGTCTTCTTGGTGCTTGGGGGGGGTCAACAGTGGGAGGGCTTCTGGTGTCCTGGCCCCACTGCTGGACCTCCTGATGGCACTGGTATTTCTGGCCACTGTGTGACACAGAGTGTTGGACTGGATGGGCCTTTGGCCTGATCCAACATTGGCGTCTCTTATGTTCTTATGTTCTTATCCTTCTTTCCTTTCTCAGTCCTTACCTGTTGCCTGTGCTGGGTTCTAAAACTCTAGCAGGTGATGCTCCTGCTTTCCTCTCCCCCCCAGTGGGTATCCAAATTGTTCTTCCCTCCATTTCATCCTCACAACAGCAACAACACTGTGATGTAGGTTAGGGTGTGAAAGACTTGACTGGTCCAAGGTCACCCAGTGAGCTTCCATGGAATTCTAACCTGGGTCTCTCTGGCCCTAGTCTGATGCAGGAACTTTTACACCACGCTGGCTACCTTTGCAAGAATATGGGAGTATGTAAAATCACTCCAAGAAGTTGTGTGTGGAAAGGGAGTGGCATAAACCTAGGAAAAGAAAACATCTGCAGAAGACCAGAGGAATAATAATATGACAGGAGGAAACAGAAGTTGAGTGTGGGGGGGTGGGGGCGGCACAGGAAGCAGATCTGCAAATACATCAGTCTCATTTAAAATTGTCAGCAAAACAATTTTAGCTGTCCAGTATGGAATAACCGATATATTTGCATTTTCCATTATAAAGAATTCTGGACCATTCTAATTTGGCATTACTCCTGACACCTTCAGAAGAATGTTTTTTGCCTCTGCAAGCATGAAGGCATCTGTTGCTTTCTGTTTTCCCCACAAGGTGGCAAGAAATATACAAAAAGCATCATAAAACGGTTTGGAGGAATGGTATGAAGCTCAACACCGTATAGGGTTTCATAAACAAAAAACAGTTCCCCCACCCACACGGTTTTTACCATCTGAAATGCATAATGGGAAATACAATTCAGCTGATGCAGTTACACATGTTTACACTTTGGAACCAGGATGAAGGTAAACAGGTGGGATTCAAAGAAGAATCTGATGGATCATGGAATGATTCAATACAGTTCCCTGCTGTGTGAAGTTCTGGCTAAACTGGTATTCTTACTAGCAGGGGTCATTTCGTAGAAAAAGAGCTAGGGGAACTCATTAGCATAACTCATTAGCATATGCCACA